CTCCTGAGGTTTTAGCTGTTCTTACGGAGACGCTGGAAAGAGTTGAAAGGAAACTCTACACCGACGCCGAAACTATCATCTGCAAAGGTAAAGAGTCGATCTCAACCAAAGTGTACCGTGGGTTAAGCTGCATCCAAAGGAGCGTGTTGTCGTTCTGGTCTACAGACATACATCTTATACAGACACATACATCTTCACCCATCTCTCTCCATTTAAACTCCTTCATTTCCCATCTTTAAAACTCTTCTATCTTGCCAGTAAATCATCCAGATATTTTTATAATTGTCTGTTGTAATTAAGCTGTGTTATTGCTTCAATCAGAATAATCACGTGTACAATGTTTGATGTTAAACTTTGATTCTGTTAATAAATGACCGCATTCATTTTGATGGGTCAAAGAAAATTAACGTCTCACGTCACTGATCTCTGTCACATATCTGTCAAGTAGTTCGAAAAAGAGAGAACCCGTTTAAATTAAGTATAATATCAGGTACTTGAACTAGTCCAGATATTATAACATGTAGTGGAGCTCCGAAGCTAACGAAGCTAACCGACCTATCTCACTACACCTGTGCACAGTGGCTCTGGATGTTTCTACTCCAGACTCAGTCCACTGCTTCCGCAGGTCCCCCAAGGTCTGGAATCGGCCCTTCTCCACAATCCTCCTCAGGGTCCGGTCACCTCTTCTCGTTGTGCAGCGTTTTCTGCCACACTTTTCCCTTCCCACAGACTTCCCACTGAGGTGCCTTGATACAGCACTCTGGGAACAGCCTAGTCGTTCAGCAATTTCTTTCTGTGTCTTACCCTCTTGCTTGAGGGTGTCAATGATGGCCTTCTGGACAGCAGTCAGGTCGGCAGTCTTGCCCATGATTGCGGTTTTGAGTAATGAACAAGGCTGGGAGTTTTTAAAAGCCTCAGGAATCTTTTGCAGGTGTTTAGAGATACGTCGTTGATTCAGATGGTTAGGTTAATAGCTTGTTTAGAGAACCTTTTCATGATATGCTAATTTTTTGGGACAGGCATTTTGGGTTTTCATGAGCTGTATGCCATAATCATCAGTTTTAAAACAATTAAAGACCTGAAATATTTCAGTTGGTTTGCAATGAATCTGAAATATATGAAAGTTTCATTTTTATCATTACATTATGGAAAATAATTACGCTTATCACAATATGCTAATTTTTTGAGAAGGACCTGTACAGAACACCATGGGCTTTGTGGATAAGGTGAGGGATGTCATCATGGAGACTGATGAAACAATGGTCTCTTTTGATTAGGGCTGCAACTAACGATAATTTCAATAATCGATTCATCGGCCCATTATTTTTTCGATTAATCGATGAATCGGAAAAAAAAAACCCAACGTTTTAATTTCCACCCCTTTATTACAAAATTGAACATTTGACTGACATAGCAATTCACACAAAAAACAGGTTGCTATTTGACTATTCTGTTAGTAAAATATTGAATAATAAAAAATAAAAGTTAGTCAAATATCTTAAAAAAATAAACGTACACAAAAATATATACAATTGTATCTTTATATCTGCACAATATGTAGCTACTTTGTAAAATGTGTCCTTGAGAAAAGATTGTAACCTGGATTAAAAGTGTGGATTATTGTAACCTGGATTAAAAGTGTGGATTATTGTAGTGAAGCCTTGGTCTTCAACCATAGACAGAGGCCTCATGTCAGTGACGATCATGTTCAGGATGTTTTCAGTGAAGGCAGCTGCTGCTGTGGTGTCCATGATGTCTGTCCATCATGAAGGCTGTTATTGTTTGTTGTTGTTTTCTGGAATGAGAGAGTAAATATGTATTATAGCATAATTTTACTGCAATTTAAGAAATGCCTTGTTTCACTTACAGTGTTAGGTTCAGGCAAAAGTAGCTAAAAGAGCAATTACACACACACACACACACACACACACACACACACACACACACACACATATAAAATACTTAATTACACACATTTGAGTAGATGTAATAAAATACTTTAATTCCTGTTTAAATGCAATTCATCCTGCCATACATGCAGTGTCTTCAGACTTTGCCAGCAAATTAAAAGTTGAAGCTTAATCATTAAATTATTATCTTTGTGTTAGATTTATTTATAAAATCACATTAAAACATTGCTTGTACCAATTACATTAAATAAAAAGTAACCCACGTACTCTATCACCGTCATTAATCAACAAACAAACAAACTAACAGCTTCATCTACCAGAGAGACTGACATTACGTTTTCTCTCTTGGAAACAGAACAATGTGTTAAATTGTAGAGACTCACCTGCAACACAAGTTGGGAGTGAAACATGTATCAGCTGCAGCTCCTTCCTCCTCCTCGTGACTCTGACATGTTTATGTTTATCAGCGTGGTTCTCCCGTGTCGTGTCGTCAATTTTCAAAGCTGCATGTTTCTCAGTTTTTATCTTTGTGAAGAGCTCCCACACTTTGGAGGACTTGGGTCGAACAGTTTTCGCTGCGTCGGTCATTTGTAAAATTTACTTTTTTCCTTTGAAAACACCGCCTCTGCTCTGCCTCGCCCCTTGCTCTGTTCAACTCGCGCTGCAGAGGTTTTTTTTTATTTTTTACATTATTCAGTCAGTCTGCATTGACAATGCACTGCCCGTGAACAAAACGAATCCGCAGCGCCGTGAAAGACGCTTAATCGCACGACACAACGAATCGATAATGAAATTCGTTGCCAACGCTTTTAATAATCGATTTTTATCGACTTTATCTATTCGTTGTTGCACCCCTACTTTTGATGTCACATCACTCTTTACGTGCATTCGTGTTGATGATGCAGTAGAGGTGGTCAGTTTAAGATTAAAATCAGACACCACTCTGAGCAGCAGGACCACGCTTTCCACAGAACAATTGTGTCAACTCTTGAAACTGCCTGCAGTCAACCTACTTCACATATGGGGAGCAATATTATAGGCAGAAACATGGGTGTGCTATGGGGTCTCCAGTTTCTCCTATTGTAGCCAACCTGTACATGGAGGAGGTAGAAAAGAGAGCCTTGACGTCCTTTTCAGGGACACCACCAAGTCATTGGTTCAGGTATGTTGATGACACTTGGGTTAAAATTAAATCCCAGGATGTCCAACATTTTACTGACCACATCAACTCTGTGGATAAATACATCAAGTTCACACGAGAAGATGTAAAAAATGGCAGGTTGGCTTTCTTGGACTGTGAGGTCTCAGTCTCTGATAGAGGACATTTGCAAACCGAGGTGTACCACAAACCCACCCACACAGACCAGTATTTGCAGTTTGACTCCCATCACCCTTTGGAGTACAAGTTAGGAATCATCAGGACTCTGTACCACAGAGCAGACAGCATCCCCACTAACTCATGAGCCAGGCAGAAGGAGAAATCCTACACAAGACAGGCTCTGGAGCAATGTGGATATCCTAACTGGGCCTTCCTGAAAGCAAAGAAGAAACCCAAACAGGACTCCAGTCAGCCATCAGGTGAAAAGGAGGAACCCAGACCCAGACCAGTGATCATTCCATATGTTGAGGGAGTATCAGAGAAACTGAGACGTTTATTTTCTAAACATAACGTCCCAGTGGCTTTTAAACCCCAAAATACATTACGGCAAAGACTGGTTCATCCCAAATATCCAGTCCCCCGGCACAAACAGTGTAATGTTGTGTATGCTGTTCAGTGTCAGGAGGGCTGTGATCAGTCTTACATCGGGGAAACTAAACAGCCACTGGCCAAAAGGATGGCCCAGCACAGAAGATCAACATCATCAGGCCAGGATTCTGCGGTCTACACTCATCTCCAGGCCAGCGGTCACTCTTTCAGGGATGAAGATGTTCACATCTTGGACAGAGAGGAACAATGGTTTGAGAGAGGAGTAAAGGAGGCCATCTTTATGAAAAGAAATTGTCCATCATTAAACAGGGGTGGAGGCTTCTGTGTTCAACTGTCCCCCTCTTACACTGCTGTTATTGCTAGTATCACTCAACCCCCTGTGAATAGTAAACAGCCATCAGTGTGCTATTGATCCATTGTTAGGCTGATGGTCCTTCTTGACCATGTGAGCAGCTGGTTTTGGTTGTCAGCAGCAAACTGGTTGATCCACTCTGAGAAGGTGCTATTTAAGAGACTGAGCTGAGTACAGCACCTCAGACTGAGGAAGTCTCTTGGATGAGAGACGAAACGTTTCTATATTTTTTTGCTTTGTTTTGTTTTTTGTTTTTTTTGAATGTCCAGAGGACCAGATTGAACTTTTGGATCAATCACTGAAGGTTTGATGTCTCAAACAGTTTCCTTTTAGGAACTAATAGCGTTTCATTTTGCATGGCGAAATGTCAAACTTTGAGGTCTGGCCCCTCCCCTTCAGCATGCTTCTGTTTGCACCGTTTTGATAACTTTTTTTCCCCCATGCCTTTTGACCAAAATGGCCAAGTTTGAAACCGATTGGGCGAAATCCCTAGGAGGAGTTTGTTCAAATGCGTAGGCTGTAAACCGCCATAAAGGTGTGAAAATTGGGACGACATTCCAAAATGGCCACCTTCCTGTTTATCGTACAATGTTGGTGCCAGAGGGTTTTCTGTGCATCTTGGGGAGTTGGACAAGCGTACCAAATTTCATGTTTCTATGACAAACTAAGGTTAATGCGGACGATATTTTGAAAATTTCCAGTTGGCGCTTTTGAGCCATTTCTGTTGCTATTTTTGCCACGCCCTTAAGATACTTAATTTTTCACCAGTCCTTATGCGTCCGCCAAATTTTGTGACTTTTGGGCTATGTTAAGGCCCCCAAAACTCCAATTCATTTGGCGGAAAAATTGCAGTTCGGGCCTGAACAGAGTGATTACAATAGGCCTTCGCAGCACTTAGCTGTTCGGGCCTAAAAAAGATCTGGTTCTTATCATGTTTTAAAGTGAGGTAATTAAAATTTCAGAAACTCATCAACATGATCTGCAGATGTTATTTCTTTAGCTACTATATATAACAGCACTGTCTCTGTAGGGTCCCATCAAGGTTACTGTACAAGAACTGGATGGGTCCTTCAACCACACTCTGCAGATCGAGGAGAACAGCCTGAAGCATGACATCCCTTGCCACTCAAAGAGCAGAAGGTACAGTAAATCTCAATCGTTCATTCTCACACTTTCTTGTCTTTTGTGCAGCCGCAACATTTAAAATGGCTGAAGTTGCATTAGAAGGATAAATAAGGTCTCGTGATGTAAGAGATTCAGAAAACTCATGGATCACATAATTGACATTAAAAAACAAATTTACTGTTGAACATGGAATGATGTGGTGTTAATATATACAGGCAGGATGGTGCCAACAGATAATGCCAAAGTTTTAGGCAAATGTGCCAAGTTACATGTTGGGGATGATATCCTGATGCATGCTCAATAATCCAGGTAGAAAAATCCAAAAAAGTTCAATCTGGTCCTCTGGATATTCAAAAAAAACAAAACAAAGCAAGCAGTTGGGGATGATGCTTAGCCACTACCACACCAAATCTTAGCCTAAATAGTAAAATTTATCTGAGTTATAACCAGTTGTGTTTCCTAAGCTCAGCTGGCGGTGGCAGACAACGTGTATGGGATTGACTGTAAAAGTTACTTGGTAGTAGATGTTCATCAAATGGATACTTTCTGAGGCTTTCATCAGAATCTGTCTTGTACGGTTCATGAGCTATTTTACTAACTCTACAGATAAATAAATGTGCACACACAAATGAGTAAAGACATTATTCCCTCTCACCTTTGGTGGAGGCATTTATGACCTGCAGGCAGATCTTTAAGTCCCTAATGAAGCATCTAGGGTTTCATTTCTTTTATTTGTTTATCTTGAAAAAACTTTTGTAGTTTATTGTGACAATATGTTGATATTTATGAAATTTTAGATAAAATACTATTGATTTGTTGACATTTTATTAATCCATCACATGATAATATTTTTTAGATTTAAAAAAAGCATTTTCTCATCAACTTGTACCTCAGAAACACTTGTCATAATGTTTGACGTTAGCAAAAATGTTGATAGAAAAATTAGATTGTTTTTATTGTATTATTTGTAGTTTTTGTCTTACTGATCTTTAGAAAGCCTTTTTGATTTCTTTTCCAGAAACAAGAAGAAGAAGATTCCTCTGATGAATGGTGAAGAAGTTGACATGGACTTGTCTGCCATGGAGTAAGAATGAGTTCCTAAAACCGAACGTTAGCTTAGCGTCATATTCTCACCCCAGTGTTTCAGTAGTTCCAGTAAGACGATGAATGAAAACAGCTGTCAGTCCCTGCTTGGAGCTTCCAGAGGTCTGACATCACAGTTCTGACTCGTTGTTTGTCACATCTTTCCTCTGCAGTGCCGACTCCCCGCTCCTCTGGATCCGAATCGACCCAGACATGTCTATTTTAAGGAAAGTGGAGTTTGAGCAGGCGGACTTCATGTGGCAGTATCAGCTGCGCTATGAGAGGGATGTGGTGGCTCAGGTAGGATGATGATGATGAGCACAGTCGAGCTCTGAAAAGTTCTTTCCACAGGCGATACGTTCTGCAGATATCCTGCTAGTTGCCTGGTTCAGCCATCTTGGAGAAAAAAAAAACGTGAAGAACTGGTCCATGTATTACAGAGGGGGGAACTTTATTCTGTTCAGTTCTTCAATATTCTTTATTAATTAAAATATTAAGCCCATATTCTGACATCCAGGGAAGATTGCTTATAAAAACTGGCATGGAAGGCGGTGGGTGGTAGGCATTCCTTCAGTGGATGAATATCACCGGCTCCTAGTTGTGGGAGATATGGTTCAAATATAATATCGTGATATTTCAGAGCATTCTGATGATAACAATAAATTTCATTTCAATTTATAACAAAAGAAAACAGAAATCATAGTTATTCATTTGACAAAATTAACATGTTGCTTTGCAGTATTATATAAAAACAAAAGAACAACAAGGGTTAATTTTACTGAAATTACTTTATTTAGTATAATATTCAGTCTCCAAGTATAAAAATAAAAATGATCATTCTGTTATTTAGATTGAAGAAGTCTGCACAAAATATAGATCAATAAATCCACCACAAAAACTAAAATGCTGGTGAAGTTTCCCAAAATAACTGAATAAAATGAATCTTAAGATCTGATGAGCATAAATGTAACCTACAACAAAATATATGTTGCCTTTAAATGAGCTATAACTTCCAAAACTTGTAACAAGGTAATCAGCTGATCCTGAAGCTTGTGGTGTTTCAGCTTCCTCTGTTCCTGCAGGAATGATTCATTTCTCTGATGCTCTGTCTCTGATCACCTGACTCTTTTGCAGTCCATGGACTGTGGAACTCAAGAGACACATCTGAGCCACGCGTTGTTTGTTTTTAGCTCTTTAGCTAGCTAGTATTGCGCTCAACTAAATTAGCATTACGCCAGTACCGACAGGTGGGTGTGGGGGTGCGCAGTTCAGTTCAGTAGTTCGGCGGGGCGCCCCACTTGTATAATCGTAGGGGAAACACTGATGTATTTTGTTGGAAAACTGGCATCCAGGCAGAAGAAGCCAGTTATAATAAGTTGAAATCAGACTATATTCAAACCAATGCTGCTATACGGTACCTAAAAGTTTGTTAACAGTATGTATGACATTATTAGATGTTTGGTTCTATCTCTCTTAATAGAAAAAGCCAGTCATAATAAGTTGAAATCAGATTATATTCAAACCAATGCTGCTAAACGGTACGTTAAAGTTTGTTAACAGTTTGCATGACATTAGTGGATGTTTGTTTCTATCCTTTTTTAATAGCTTTTTATTAGTTACTCATTGCTGACAGAATGTGTGAAACAAAGGAAGGCCTGAACCCAATCTCAAGCAGAGGAAGAGCTAGATCAAGAATAAATTATGTGACCCCCCTGTGGGCCTAGTAATGAAGAAAATACATTAACAGCTTCCAAGCTAATGAAGAAAAGACAATAACAGCTTCCAAGCTAATGAAGAAAAGACATTAACAACTTCCAATCTAATGAAGAAAGGACATTAACGGCTTTCAGATTGATTAAATTAAAAAGTAAACTTTGGAAAGTAAGCGCCTGATGCGCCCCCTGGGCATGGTCTCATATGTCCCAATGAGAGGAGTGATTGGTTGAGGCGTATAGTGAGACATTTGAACCTCCTCAGGGGAGGGGGAAAAAAGTGTATAGAAGTCCCTTGGTCTGGCAGAACGGGGCACAAGCAAGCCGGAGGAAGAGAAGAGCAGAAAGGGCTTCAGCACGCTGCTCGGAGGGCGGGGGCACCCGAAGCAGATGGAACACACCGGTCTAAGACGAGTCTTGGATTTATCTCTAGTCTCTCTGAGACGAGATCGGACCCAACTCTTCACTTGTTGAGACGAGACCAGGATTATTCCATCCTCCTATCTGCTTGGCCCGGGTATGTCCAAAGCCCTAGTCCTCCCAATTTGGGATAGCTGCCCTGCGTAGGGAAGGCCTGTATCCCCCTCCTGGGGAGCAGGAGATTTGCCTTTTACCCGTGTGAAAAAATTCTATTAGAATCATCCTAAAAATCAGGGTAAGAGGACTTCCCGGTCCAACTGCTCCAAACTAATTAATCTGTCAGATCAGGGCAAGTATTTAAGAAAAATCAGAGAGAACCAAACTGGGTTTAGTGAGACAATGCTCAGAGGTGCATTCAAGCGTTGAGGCATTTTGAGGAAAAAGAACATCTGTCAGCTTGAGTGGTGAACTGAGGTGGTTTATACAAGTCTCCAAGGGCTCTTGGAGACGCATTGATTTATTGTCCACCTGTTTAAAAAAGTGTTTTTCTCTATAATCATGTATAAGTATCTGTAATGAAATTATGCTTGTCGCTGTATTCCCTTGCAAAATTATTAATTAATGCAAAGCAAAACGTATAAATCTTGACTATTATTTCACCTTTATTGAGCAGAATACATGGTGAGGCTTGGTTCCACTTTAACATCTGATATTAGGAGGTTTTTAACGGTTTCCTGGCAAGAAAGTGTAAAACAACACCCCTGAGTCCTTTTCCTGGACTCTAAAGATTACCAGAACGGATAACAATTGTAACGCTAAATTAAGAGGTGGGCGACCGTGAACGCGTGTTTCTCCGTGCCAGCCGGCCCGACCCTGCTGCTTGGACGGGACGAGGAACGGAGTGAGACTTGGGTGTGACTCGCGGAAGAAGGTCGTTAATATTCTGGATGAGTCGCCTCATCACAGCCTTCATGAGACTGTCTTAGGGAGCTGCAGGTAATACCACGGCGCTAAGGTTAGTTTCTAGACCCCTTGGAGGAGAGGCTGCGTGCGAGGACCTGTCATTTCGCCAGTGACTGCCTCGCTACGGGAAAGCGGTACAATTTACATCATGAAATTAGCATATTTATTTATAATTTATTTTTCCGGGCAAGCTTTTTTTTACTGGTATTATCATGAACAGCATGATATGGCCCAGCCCTACTGGCCGCCTTTCATGTCAAACATTTGGACTAACATCGTCTTATGATGAGAAATGACAGAGTTGTAGCTGGTTGTAGCTGTTTAGGTCAAATCTTGAAAATAACATTTTCCTTAGTCTTTTGTGATATCTGAAAACGTCATGCTCTGTGTTGCAAATGACTCTCAGCTACTACCACATCAAATTCAAGCACAAACTGACTGAGTTAAAGCTGCTCTTCTGTTTAATGATCCTGATTATTTGTGGTAGCCAAATACTAGTATTGTCTGAATCAGATGAAGATGTACTTTGTGCAAGTTCCATTTAAGTTTGTCTAGTGGTTCACGAGATATTTTGCTAACAAACACAAACCTGCACAAACATGGGCAAAATCATTAGTCTGCCTTCACCCTCCAGCAGTGACCAATAATGATATAAGACACCATCAGCGGTAGAGTTATTAAATTTTAAATTAATAACATTAATAATAATTTATTTAATTCTCTAACTTTTAGTGACACTAACCCTTGGAGCAGTTAACATGAAACAACTTCGAACAGTTATTGAACTGAACAATATTTGGTTGGTTCTTTCACTTCAATAATTATAGTGTCTACATTTTCACAAGGTTTGTTAGTTACCTCTTGCAATGTTTTGAATGATGATAATAAACCCTTGCCAGTTTAACTATGGTAGTTAGAAAAACTCAACATTAGCAGCTTTCCTTGTCTTCTGTAGGAGGAAGCCATCTCAGCACTGGAAAAATTCCCCACTCCTGCCTCCAGACTGGCTCTAACGGACATCCTCGAGCAGGAGCAGTGCTTCTACAAAGTTCGCATGCAGGCCTGCTTCTGCTTGGCTAAGGTTTGTATCGCTCATAAGCATGCTTTATGACAGAACTTCTACTAAAAACAGCGTTGAGGCACCAGATTGACCTGAATGTTGGGCTAAGCTCACCACAAGAACGTTGTTCAATTTCTCGTGTCATCATTTGTGAAGCTTCTCTGTGATTGGATGTGGAGTTGTTCACAGTATAAAACTATTGCTCTCTCTGCCAGCAAGCACATTTATGAACACGTTACATATGCATTTGATGTCGAGGTGATCCATGAAGCACTAACAGATAGTCCATTGTCCTGACAAGATGATGGTCAGCCGGCACCGTTCGATTAGCCTCCACTGAAGTTCAGGGGGGGTTGCGATAGACGAAGCTTTTCCTTAGTTTACACATTTCCCAGGAGAAATTGATAAGTCGGCCTGTTTCAAGGCCAACCGGGGAGTCGGATTCAGATAACCCACACTTGTTGATTTATTCAGGCAGACTATTTTCTCGTCAGCCTTGAGTCTTACTGATACTTTCAAGATCCAAAATGGCCAGATTAGGATGCATTCTACTGGTCAGTGCTTACGAGCCTCTTCAAGATCGTTTCATGCTGACGAGTCCCAAAGCCGCAGGTGGCCTGCGATTCAAATCAATTCCATCTTACGGTTTAGCTCGTTATTCAGCTGATTTTGAGTCCTTAAAGCACAAACCAAACCTTCACATAGGCAGCAGCCTGACCAGGCCAGATTAGCTGCGGCCATCTTCTTTGTATGTTGATAAACCAGGAACCAGACAATTCCAAAAACAGGAAACCTGTTATCACAAATCCAATTATATGCAATTTTGGCGTTCTAGATCAACAGCAATATTTCCGGGAAGATGGTGCCGCTGTGCATGGCCTGCCCTCCACCTTTGTGAAAAAAAAAACGGTCTGGACTTCTTCTGCATGACTGAGACGTGGCTCTCCTGTGATGATTACTCATTTTCAGCTTCTTCAGCAAATTTCAGCCGAGTCATCCATCACTGCATTCACGCTGCATTCTCACAACAACGGCACTTTTTATAGTTTTAATGAATAACAACATCTATTGATTTGATTGTCAATATTAATCAATCTATTGAGTATGGCAATATTGTTACAACCACAAAAATACCCAATTTATTTTTGTTGGAAGTAGCTACTGGACTGCTTTCAATTTATATTTTAAAATCTTTCCATACTGCAGGCATGTTGGTGTGGTGCATGATCACACTTTTGTTTACGGCAACTACAATACAGACAACTGGTGTCAAACCATCGACTGGCAGCATCCAGTCTAGGTCTTCAAGGGCACTATGCTGCACGTATTAGTTGTTTTTCTGCTCCAGTATGCCTAAATGGGATTCACAGTGTTCTGTAGAACCTTATTCTGAAGAAATAATTCAACTAGCGTTCCACCGTAATGAGGTTTTCTTTGACTGAAGCTGATGCCAATTTTTAGAACTCAAGACATTCATAGGCAAATTTACAGCACAGATGTTTTTGTTGTTGTTATTCAGTATATGTCTTTCATTTAATAAAACACAACAATAATTGTGTAACTTAATTAAGGACTTTTACACCTAAAAATAACATAGAAGAGCATTCAAGCAATCTAAATAAATAAATAGCAGTAAATGGACTGTACTTATGTAGTGCCTTTCTATCTTATTTCAAGATACTCAAAGCGCTTTACACTAAAATCTGTGTCCTCATTTACCCATTCATACAGCACTCTACTAAATCTCTACAAAGCTAATTGAACAAATCATTCTAATGAGACTAATCAGTGCTTTAGATCACATTCATACACTGATGAGACACACATCAGAGGCTATGAGGGGTTCAGTGTCTTGCCCAGGGACACTTCAGCATGTGACTGCTGGTGGATTCGAACCCCCAACTCTCGCATTGGAGGACGACTGCTCTAACCACTCAGCCACAGCTGCCCCCCAGTGTTTCCCCGAGGTCAATACATAGTTCTAATGTAACATAACACATTTGGGCACTTTGTCACTAATCGCCATTTTTGTAGGCATGCACAGCTTACGCTACATCAGTGCCAGCAGTTGTTGACCGGGGGTGGGGGGGGGGGGGGGAAGGACAATTTCGGTAGGTGGGGCACCCTCCTTGGATAACGGTAGCAGCGCCATAGAGAGAGAGAATTACGACACTCTTTGAACTCGCCCATAGGCGGTCACGTGGTTCATGCAGCTCCCTATAGTTCCAAACAGCTCATTGCTGTCAGTCAGTTTGAGCGGCTACTGGTGCGACATAACACAAAAATCAACTTTTCTGATTTTGCCCGGCGTCTTTCGGTAATTATTGAGCAGTAACAAACTAATTACTTAACTGTTTACTGATTATTTCACTGACTATGCATTTTATCAACGCATTTTAGAATTGGGTACATGGAGGTGAGAGTACACCTTTCTATGCAATTCTAGAACGCGTTCTAGAATTGCGCCGCTCAAGTTGGCTGCATGTTGGAGCAGCTCTGTTACTTTCATTCTGAGATTTTGCTTTTAGAAACTTTAATTCCTCTTTTTCTGGATGTAAATCACAATTTTTTGGATGATTGTTTCCTCTGGTATCAGATGCTGTGCAGCTGGAAGGATTTTTACTGAAACTTTTTTAGTTTTGGACATTTGTTATGATGCGTAACCATGGCAACAAGGCAGTTTTCTACAACCAACAGCATCTGATTAACATCTCAAAAGCTCAAATAATATCTCAACTACAGCCCCAAATCTCAAGCGAGTTGAAAAGGATGTTCTGTGGACGCATTCTCATCTACCTGCCAGCTGTGCTCGAGTGTCTGACCACTGAGATCCTGGAACTAGCAGGAAACACGGCTCATGACAGCGGAAGAACAGGATCGTCTCTCTGCACCTACATTTGGCTGGCCGCAGCGACGAGGGGCTCAGCAGACTGCTGGGAGGAGCGGCCATCGCTCTGGGAGGAGTTCTGCCCAGCATTTGGGTGGTCCTACAGCCCGAGGGGAACCGAGAGGCCAGCCGAGTCTGGGTGGACGGATCGGACGGCATCTGCAGCCAGTTTCTTAGGATCCACTGTGGGATGGACCTTTACAAGAGATCCTTCCTGCCTACAGCCATCAGTATCTATAACATCTCTTAATGAAATGAGGATAATGAGTTACAACAACAAATAATTTCCCTCTGGGATTAATAAAGTATTTTTGAATTGAATTGAATTGAATTGAAGAAGACAATTGGCATGAAGAATAACTTCCCAGCTCCATCTCAATGTACCTGTGATTGTTTAATAAGTTTTTTGTTACTGTGCTACAGTTTATTGATGCTGGTATATTCTAGGTAATAATTCTTATTTCTTGTTCTGTCTTGAAAGAGAATCTCATCTCAACTTGACCAATGATTACCATATGCTAAACTAATAATATAAAACAAAAGTAAATTAACAGTCCTTCAGTAAATACCAACTTTGTGAAGGTTACGGTGTTAAAGTAATTTTATTCAAACATCTTGATTAAGCTGTTGTTGTTTTGGGAAGACAGAACATGAGATTTTGTCTTTGTGATACTTTGAATGCAACATTCAGTTCACTGAAGTCATTCTTCTGTGGTTTACCAGGAAAATATAAAAAATTTTCTCATCTCCACGATCATGTTTTTTTTAATGATAATGTCACAATTTATACTGCAGTCTTTGACAGAGGATCTATAACTTGAACTAAATTACGTCAATCTCTCAGAAAAAAAAGGCTGAATATTTTCTAGTTGAGAGTTCAGTAACTGGAATTACCATAAAAATGAAAAAAGTATCAACTTTTCACAATTTAAGCTGTAATGGATATTTTAAAACACTGAATTAAACAGAAATAGACCCGTTTAAACCCGTCATGATTGCAGTTAGCTGCAGTTAAAACACAACTAGCAAGTTAACATGTTTAATTAACTAAAACTGGCACCATGAAGTATAAATGTTGATAAACTGTGGTACAGAACAGTCAGCTAACGTTTCACAATGGCAAAAAAAGTGTTGTATTTTCATCAGCTTACCAGAGAAAACGCGGAGAATGAACTACGTTCAATGTTGGAACCGCTGCTGTTTGTAACTATTTGCCGCTGCATGACCCACATGACTTCCGCATTCCATTCTTTCTATGAGAGTCTATGAGAGTGTCGTAACTCTCTTTATATGGCTCTTAACGATAGGGGGAACACTGAATAGTGTGCTACAGTCAAGCAAGTGTAGATGTTGCTGGATCTCCTTTTATTTTTACTTGGTAATTACCATAAGTATGTGCGGGCAGGGTCAATTGCAGATTATAATTTATTTTTCATTGTTTAAGTGGCAAATATTGGCCTATTAATTGTTCTTTCTTTAAATTAAACCATTGAATTCAGGGGTGCTGGAGCAGAGAAACAACTAAAACATGCAGGATAGTGACCCTCAATGACCAGGTGTGGACACCTCTGCCATAGACTGAGATTAGGAACAGAGTGACTTTACGATGAATAAAAGTGACCTTGATCAAGACTCTTAGTCTGATACTTGTGATTTACTTTGGACAATTTTTCCTCTATTTAAAACTTGTCGCAGACTCTTTCACTTTAGTAGCCACTTCAGAAGCAGCTCGTTTTTGTCACAGTGTGAGCTTTCTCTCTCCCAGATCTTCATGGTGTGGCTCATCAACTTAATTCCCCTCTAGTTGCTACAAATCTGTACATCACCCTTGTTCTTAAAAACGGGCATCAGCACACTTCTCCATTCCTCAGGCATTTTTTCACCTTCGAATATGCCATTGAATATTTGAGTCAAAAACCTCACTGCCATCTCTCCAAGACATTTCCAAACCTCCACTGGTATGTCATCAGGTCCTACTGCCTTCCCCTTTTTCATTCTTTTCAGAGTTTTCTGGACTTCACCCTCACTAATCTTTCCCACTTCCTGGTCCACAGTTTCTACGACCTCTACTCTTCTTTCTGTTTCATTTTCTTCATTCATTAGCTCCTCAAAGTACTCCTTCCCTCTCTCCGTC